TATGTGTGTGTGTGTGTGTGTGTGTGTGTGTGCGTGTGTGTGTGTCTGTGTGTGTCTGTGTGTGTGTGTATGTGTGTATGTGTGTATATATATAAATATATGTGCGTGTGTGTAATTATATATATATATATATATATATATATATATATATATATATATATATATATATATATATATAATTCTCTTTCTATTAATCCATTATGTCCTTTTATCTATATATTTTAAAGTTATTTTTAAACTCCTTTTTCTTCCTCTTCATATAACCCTAAATTAATGTCATAAGGTTGATATTTGGGTTTAATTTTATAAAACTTCTCTTTAAGACAAATACCTTCCACCCTCCCCTGACCACTGTCTTGTGCCTTTCGTCTGACTGAAACATTGAAATGGATAAATTCTGTACTAATTTTTCTAGTTGATAAGACAGACGACCTATTTCTTCGTGTGCCGAAATAGGCTATTCTCCAGATGAGGTGATTTTGGATTTTATTGTTTTATTAATTATTTGCTCTGTAATAATAAATACATTGAGCTCTTTTTGTGGAACAGTTTGAATATTTTATATTTCTAGGATCTCGGATCCACTTGGAATATATTCAACGGATCTGTTATATATATATATATATATATATATATATATATATATATATATATATATATATATATAATCATAATAACACAGATTGTTAAGTTTAAAATAAATTTAATAGCATGTTTGTCTTTTTTACCGGGGCCGGCAAATTAGCCTCTTCTTTTGTTTTTACTTAATAAACCGAATGCATATTTAAGTCAGCCTAATATAATGCCGTATGAAGTTTTAGCATGATCATTATTGGTCCCATGACTGGGTATGGTTATAGGGTCACTGCGCAGGTGAATACCTGATCAGTTCGTTCAACTGGAGTGCCGGCTAATTTATTCATTCATGCGTTGTGCATCACGGGCAACGAGAGATGACCTAGCCTGTCGCTCTCCTGGTCAAACCATAGTCGATATTCTGTAAATTAAATGATCGCTTTTGGCATGTATTTCATTGGTGGAACCCTCTACTCTAGGAGATGACATCAGTCTAGGAACCCCGCACCCGTTTTGAAATCAATGGCTGCTTATTATCTATGGAACTTAGGTGGGTGTTGATCCTTAAAAGAGATTTTCATTCATTCAAAGCACAGGCGTTCTGTTGCGTTAAAAAAAACTGCTAGGTGTTTATTTACTCTCCTCAACAGAAAAGCCTGGTAGAGGATCTGGTTTAGATGACCCGACCGTTGCCTCAGGTAAACGCTAGGTTACATGACAACAGTAACATCACTGGTATGACGTTTATAACACCCCCCCCGCCCAATATATTTTTCATTTTTGCTTAATAAATCGATAGATGTTTTTGGTCAACCCAATATATCATTCAATACTGTTTAAGATAGATAGATAGATAGATAGAGAGAGAGAGAGAGAGAGAGAGAGAGAGAGAGAGAGAAAGAGAGAGAGACAGTGAAAGAGAGAGAGACAGTGAGAGTGAAATAAAGAGATGGAGAAAGTGAAAGAGAGAGACAGTAAGAGTGAAAGAGATTGTAAGAGTAAAAGAGATAGATAGAAAGAGCGAAAGAGGGGGGCGGTGAGAGTGAAAGAGAGAGATTGTGAGAGTGAAAAAGAGAGATAGTGAGAATGAAAGAGATAGAGGAAAAGATAGATAGTTTGAAAGGAGAGAGTGAAATAGAGAGATGGAGAAAGTGAAAGAGAGAGACAGTAAGAGTGAAAGAGATAGAAAGAGTGAAAGAGGGAGACAGTGAGAGTGAAACAGAGAGTTTGTGAGAGTGAGAGAGGGAGAGTGGGAGTGAATGAAAGAGATAGTGAGAAGGAAAGAGAGAGATTGTGAGAGAAAAGAAACTGGGAGAGGAAGAGAGAGAGAGAAAGAGAGAGATAGAGGAAAGGAGAAAAAAGAGAAAAGAATGAAAAAGAGATAAAGGGAAAGAAAGAGAGAGTGAGAGAGGAAAGAGGAAAGATAGAAAGATGAGAGAGAGTGAAAGGGGTTGAGATGAAAGAGAGAGATAGAGAGAGAGATAGATAGGAGAGGGAAGAGAGAAAGAGAAATGAAAGGATAGTAAGAAAGAGAGAGTGAGAGGAATGATGAGATTAGAGAGGGAAAGAGAGAGAGAGATAGTGAGAGTGAAAGAGAGATAGTGAGAGTGAGAGAGAGTGAAAGATAGAGAGAGTGAGAGAGGGAAGAAAGAAAGTGTATGGTGAGAGGAAAGAGAGCTTAATTGAGAGAAAGAGAGATTGGTCTTTATAGAGAGTGAAAGGAGAGACAGAGATCAAGGAAAGTGATAGAGAGGAAAGAGAGAGAGATAGTGAGAGTGATATAGAGATAGATAGTGAGAGTGAAAGAGAGAGAGAGAGAGTGAGAGATTGCGAGAAAAGAGAGAGAGAGAGAGTGAGAGATTGCGAGAAAAGAGAGAGAAATGAATAAGAAAACAAATCGCTAGAAAGAGGAAGATTTCTAAAACATTATGGGTTTGTAATTTACGCTATTTTTTTTTTGCAACACGTCGTATGTCAGCATTAATAAGATTGGTTCTGAAAATTGGTTTCCGCCGGCGTAAATCCTTGCCAATTTGTCGTTTAAAAAACCATCAAAAGCAGAAGACAATTCCTTATCTGTTTAGGATTCACATTGAATGAACACCGAAAACTGAATAAACCTCGACGCCATCCTTACGTTCTTTTCGATTTGATTCACGAAGGGAGACATGAAAACAGGATCAAATTCGAGTCATTAAAACCTCTATCTCTTCATTAGAAAAACCAAGAAAAACTTCATCTTTGTTACTCTGGCCAAGTTTCGAAGAACTTATTTTCACATCATCTTTGCCAGTCTTTCTTTTTCTTATTTTCTTTATTACTTGCATTCCTTTCTTTCTTTCTTTTCCATTTTTCTTGTTTTCTCTCCTACTTTCTTTCTTGTTCTTTCTTTCTTTCTTTCATACTTTTTCTTTCGTTCTTACTTTTTTTCGTGCTTTTTGTTCCAGATCTTGATTTTCTTTCTTTCTTTTTCCTTTTTCATTCGTTCTCCTTTTTGCCCGCTTTTTTCATAGTTTTTCTTTTTCTTTCTTTCTTGCTTACTTGCTTTTTACATTTTTCTTGCATTTTCTGTTTTCTTTCTTTCTTTTCCTTTCTTTATTATTCTCCTTTTTCTTCTTTTATTTCCTATTTTTTCTTTCTTCCTTCCTTCCTTCCTTCCTTCCTTTCTTTCTTTCTTTCTTTCTTTCTTTTTTCTTTCTTTTCTCTTTCTTTCTTTGTGTTTATTTTGTCTTTCTTTCATTATATTGATATCATTCATTTCTTATTTCTTTTTGATTTTTCCATTTTTTCTTTCTTTGTTTTTTGTTTGTTTATTTTTTATTTCTTTCATTCTTTGGCATCCTTCTTTCTTTCTTTCTTTTGTATTTTTCTTCTCGGCTCTTTTTTGACATTCTTTCTTTCTTTCTTTCTTTCTTCTTTTGTATTTTTGTTCTGTCTTTTAACTTTTCTTTCTTTTAAATTTCTTTCTTTGTTTCTTTGTTTCTTTTGTATTTTTCTTCTCGGCCCTCTTTTGACACTCTTTCTTTCTTTTGTATTTTTCTTCTCGGCCCTCTTTTGACCTTTTTTTCTTTCTTTTTTCTTTCTTTTCTTTCTTTCTTTCTTTTCTTTCTTTTGTATTTTTCTTCTCGGACCTCTTTTGACCTTTCTTTCTTTCTTTTTCTTTCTTTCTTTTTCTTTCTTTTGTATTTTTCTTCTCGGCCCTCTTTTGACCTTCTTTCTTTCTTTCTTTCTTTCTTTCTTTTGTATTTTTCTTCTCGGCCCTCTTTTGACCTTTCTTTCTTTCTTTCTTTTTTCTTTCTTTCTTTCTTTCTTTCTTTCTTTTGTATTTTTCTTCTCGGCCCTCTTTTGACCTTCTTTCTTTCTTTCTTTCTTTCTTTCTTTTGTATTTTTCTTCTCGGCCCTCTTTTGACCTTCTTTCTTTCTTTCTTTCTTTCTTTTGTATTTTTGTTCTCTCTTTTAACTTTCTTTTCTTCTTTTAAATTACTTTCTTTCTTTATTTTTCATTCTTTCTTTCTTTCTTTTGTATTTTTCTTCTCGGCCCTCTTTTGACCTTCTTTCTTTCTTTCTTTCTTTCTTTCTTTTTGTATTTTTCTTCTCGGCCCTCTTTTGACCTTTTTCTTTCTTTCTTTCTTTCTTTCTTTCTTTTGTATTTTTCTTCTCGGCCCTCTTTTGACCTTCTTTCTTTCTTTCTTTCTTTCTTTCTTTCTTTCTTTCTTTTGTATTTTTGTTCTCTCTTTTAACTTTCTTTTCTTCTTTTAAATTACTTTCTTTCTTTATTTTTCATTCTTTCTTTCTTTCTTTTGTATTTTTCCTCTCGGCCCTCTTTTGACCTTCTTTCTTTCTTTCTTTCTTTCTTTTGTATTTTTCTTCTCGGCCCTCTTTTGACCTTCTTTCTTTCTTTCTTTCTTTCTTTCTTTCTTTCTTTTGTATTTTTCTTCTCGGCCCCTTTTTGACCTTCTTTCTTTCTTTTTTTTCTTTCTTTCTTTCTTTCTTTCTTTTGTATTTTGTTCTCTCTTTTAACTTTCTTTTTTCTTTTTAAATTACTTTCTTTCTTTATTTTTCATTCTTTCTTTCTTTCTTTTGTATTTTTCTTCTCGACCCTCTTTTGACCTTCTTTCTTTCTTTCTTTCTTTCTTTTGTATTTTTCTTCTCGGCCCTCTTTTGACATTCTATCCTTCTTTCTTTTGTATTTTTGTTCTGTCTTTTAATTTTCTTTTTTTTTTAAATATCTTTCTTTGTTTCTTTGTCTCTTTTGTATTTTTCTTCTCGGCCCTCTTTTGACCTTCTTTCTTTCTTTCGTTTGTATTTTTGTTCTCTCCTTTAATTTCTTTCTTTCTTTCTTTCTTTCTTTCTATATTCTCTTCTTTGTCTCTTTCTGTCTGTTTCCTTCGACACCAACCTTCGCTCTTTTCTATTGTAATTTTCCCTGATTCTTAACAATTCCTTCTCATTACTTTTTTCACTTTTTCCTATCTTTTCACAAGTTCCATTAATTATCCCCACTTTTCCTTTGTTTCTTGATTTATTCGCAAAACATTATCAACTTGTTTTAAAGAGTTTGAAAAATAGAGATAATGACATTTTGTTGCTTTGTGCTTTCGACAAAATAATCAAATAATCACCTTTTGGCTTTTCTTTCTGACCCAACTTCCTATGAACCATTCAAAACTGTTCTTTCTAACTTATATCAGTCTGAGACAATACCTGTTGCATCTTGGGTCAAAAAATCTTTGCGCTTAATCTCTTTTCAGTTGTTTTCGCATTATCTTGTCTCTACTTGCCATCTGACGGAGATTTAACATACACACACACACATATATATATATATGTATGTAATATATGTATATATGTATATATAGATATGTGTGTGTGTGTGTGTGTGTGTGAAAATATATGGAAAATAGGAAAGAACTCGTTAGGTAAATGATCCAATGTTCTTTAGTATTTTTGTTATTATTTTAAAAATATAGTGCTCGATACAAAAGTAGAGCATGAATATAATTATTTATTTAAAAATATGATTCCAACGCTACATAAGAGTTCTCATCTTTCAAAACAAGAGCCTAAAACTTCGATATAATTATTTGAATTAAATTGAATTAAAGTACCGAGCTCTGTTCCATCGTCAAGCGAAATTTTTTTGGGAAAAAAGCCTACAACAACAACATAAATATGGTTGATAGCATTAACAGAAGTAGTAAAAAAATTACTGATAAATTAAAAATTAGCGATAGAGTAGGCAAACTTACTGAAAAGGAATGTTACATCACTCTTAATTTTATATATAAATATATATATATATATATATATATATATATATATATATATATATATATATATATATATGTATGTATCTATTGAAGTGATTACAATCGGGTTCATTACATTCTCTTAAGCGAAGCTACCCTTCCGCCACATGTGGGTTAAATAGTACGACATGTATCTGGTAAAATCATTGTTATAATCAGACAGTTGTTCACTCGCAAAAAAAGAATTATTCTTACAATCAAAAATATGTTTCGGCTTTGAATAACCCACAAAGGGTTGATAAACCGTAAAAAAATCAATAAATAAATCAACCAATCAAGCATGCAGAATATAATGAAGAACAATAAAATTGTAACATCCTGATTTCGATAGAATTAATGACTTTTATTTTTTTTTTAATCCGCTATATTTATTTATCACTTCAAACGTTATTTTTAGTGGATACCCGTATTTGAATAGACGCTCCGTTTATTTTAGACAGTTTTCATTTCGTCTACCGACCTGCACACATGACGAAACTGCTACCCGTATCTTCCACAAACACGAAATTTGATCGAAACTTTAACCATAGCAGCCATTCCCAGCTGGTCGATCAGAAGAAGAAGCGTTCAGTTAGAATGGAGTAAAAACAGCATCATGTTTAGGTGTAAAAGAGTATATCTTTTTCAGTTACTGTAAAATACCTTCATTAAAAAACAACATTTTGAATTAATGCAGTTACTAATATATAAGAAGTAGTCTGTATTTATTCAATCGAAGTTAACCGAGGACATGAAGGGGTAAAACAGGCAACATGAAGACCCACTTCAGACCAGAATTATTTTTGAGTTTTTGAAATTCAATTTGTCAGTGTGCTACCAGGGATGTAAAAGAGAATACATTTATAAAGCAATTGTTATGTTTCCACAAACACGAAATTTGATCGAAACTTTAACCATAGCAGCCATTCCCAGCTGGTCGATCAGAAGAAGAAGCGTTCAGTTAGAATGGAGTAAAAACAGCATCATGTTTAGGTGTAAAAGAGTATATCTTTTTCAGTTACTGTAAAATACCTTCATTAAAAAAAAAACATTTTGAATTAATGCAGTTACTAATATATAAGAAGTAGTCTGTATTTATTCAATCGAAGTTAACCGAGGACATGAAGGGGTAAAACAGGCAACATGAAGAACCACTTCAGACCAGAATTATTTTGGAGATTTTTGAAATTCAATTTGTCAGTGTGCTACCAGGGATGTAAAAGAGAATACATTTATAAAGCAATTGTTATGTTTGATGAAAATTGGTTGAAAGATCAAAGAAAAATAAGAAACCAGTAAAAGTCGCCATTTTTCACTATTTACGCGGGTTTTATCTGGGACTCAATTATCAAGTTAAATGACTGTTAAACAGAAATTGTTGGTTACAATCGAGTAAAGTTTATATTAGATTGCTTGAAAATTGAGGGATTGTGTTGAAATTTTTCGTTTTTCGCGGTTTTTCGCTAAACGCAGTGGCGTAGAAATAAAAATGAGGTATCGTTGAGCTCGTCATTATGTAAGTAACCTACATACCGAATTTGGACGAAATCGGAGGGGAAAAGCTGAATTTATCGATTTTTGATCGGGTTTACCGATTATTGATTTAAAAAAAAAATATCGATTTTTTAGACTAAGAACCTATGTCTTACATTGTACAATGTATATGCCAAGTTTGGTCAAAATCGGTTGGATGGATCTTGAGTGAAAAGGCATCACACAGACATACAGTTTCCCCCCGCTATCCCAGAAAACAAAAACTGCCTGCAACACAGGAACGTGATGAGATGATGTAGGGTTCTCTCTTATTTTGTTTCTAAATTACATCAAGGCCGCCCAACGGATTCTTTAGATATTCAAAATGGTCAGATACTATACAAACCGT